AGAGAGAGAGAGAGAGAGAGAGAGAGAGAGAGAAATTTAGTAGATTAATTTAATTTAATAATATTATTGTTAATATTAAAAAGCAGAATTATGACATGAATTTTGAATAAACTTTAGTTTTAAATCTCATTTTTGAGGTTGGAAGTTAAAAACCCCGTGTGGGGGTAATTTCCTCTTTATCAAATCGACCATATAAATCAAATCTATTTTTACCATCTTTACATTAACAAGACTCCAAGCTCAATAACCTTTCCAGTCATTTAACTTCCAATTAGCACAATCATATATCCGATAGAATAGTTGTGCTGCACCTTTTATATTTCGCTCATAGAAGACCCGTTCAATCAGCCAGGAAGCGACTCCCTCTCCATCTAGATTTACTTTAGGCAGTACGGACGTAAACAAAAATAATTAACATCTAATGACAGTTCGATCAATCCAAGTAAACAATCTTTCATGTTAGGGTACTTAAAGATGCAAAGAAAAGTAACCTTGATCTAATGCAGTACAAATTCCCGTGATTTTACCCATTTGGGCAGCACCATATTCAATTTCTTCTCCCATTTTCCATGTCTTCGAGTATTGAGCTTGAGTCTCGTACATTGGCATCTGGTGCAGATCTGATAGATACACTCTCAAATTCTGACTGCCTAACTGTAAGAGCATTAGCATTGGTTGATGATGATTGGTTGCCATTTCTCGAGTCTGCCAGCATATTGAAATATGCATGGGGTGCCCAACCTGCATAGCCAAGAAAGTTGTTAAGAATGTACCGATAAAATTCAGCTATACAAACATTGCATTAGGGTTCCTGTTCTCATGGAATGATGGAAGGGCACTGCGGAGGAGAAAACACGCAGTAAACTTCCAGCAGAGTGGTTTATTGGCCCTGTGATGTGATTATTGAATATTGTGGCAATGGTCTGCCATTACAGTTTACTTGAAAATTTTCAAATCTGACAGTCAATACGATGATTCCACCCCTCAATTTAATCAGAAAAAACAGAATTATAAACTTGATAATTTAAGTGAGCTGCAGAGAAGCTCTACAGGTGATTGAGGCCATCCTCTGTCCTAGGAAAATGACTCTTATTCCATTCAGACCGTTTTACGCTCACCTAGTTAAAATTTGAAGACGAGGAATTTACAAATTGAGAAAATTATGTAAGCTAAGCTAAATTAACCCTTGGTCAATATCCTATTCCTAGTATAGGAGACAGAAGCATTCATAGCCAATTTGAAGTAACTGAAATTCTCCTAGTTAAGTTTTCAAATCTCGCTTGAATCTATCACTAAATTCTTACTTCAAGTAATAAATCGCAAAACATGCATACTTTCAGAGGAAAAACATGAATTTTCTTTTATACATCAAACATTAGTAGAGAACATAAGGGTTAATAGCACCAAACGTCCCTACATTTCATTTTTTTGTATTTTCGTCCATATTTCAACGTTTCGTTACAGAAAACGTCATTTTCACTATTTTTTAATGTAAAATGACCACAATTCCCTCCTATTTAAATAAAAAAAAAAAAATAAAGAATAAATTACAATCTTACTCCAAAATGTTTTAAAAAGTGCAAGTGAGTCTAAATAATTATTAAAAGCCTAATAGCACAAAACGCTCCCACATTTGGCATGTAGTGTGCAAAATGTCCCTACATTTCAAATTGGTAAAAATGAAGTTTTCCGCAATAAAACGTGGAAATAGGGATGAAAATGCAAAAAATAAAATAAAAAATGTAGGGACGTTTTGTGCTATTAACCCTTATTAAAATAAAAAAAAATAAAAAATAAAAACTCTTTTCTTCTTCTCCAAATGGGACTGCCACGTTAGAAGTGAAAAAACTCCGACTAACCATCGCCCAAACCGCCAAACCTCCATATTGCTGAACCATCCGTTGATATTTTAAAACCATGAAGAGAGGCGCCCTGGTGAGTATATTCGATTGATTGTTGGAAATAAAATGGGTCTCTCCTAAACAGATGACGTCACCAGTATTTGCATTCGCGAGTTGGGTATTTTGGCTTACAATTCCTAACAAATCTATTGGTATGAAGGTTATAATATTGGATGGTATGTGTAGAGGGAAGTGAGGGCATTTCGGAGATATGGTGGTCCAGCAATTTGGGGCTGTGGTTTGTTGGAGTGTTTTGGCTCCTAAGGTGACTAACCCATTTGGAGAAGAAGAGGAAAAGGGGAGAGAGAGAATTTTTTTTAAAAATATTTTAATAAGGCCTAATGACACAAAACTTCTCTACTTTGACGCTTATTGCAAAAAACGTTCTTACGTTTCAATTGTTTTGGCATTTTCATCCCTATTTCCACATTTTATTGAGAAAAACATCATTTTTATCAATTTGAAACGTAAGGACGTTTTGCACACTACTAGCCAAACATAGGGATGTTTTGTGCTATTAGGCATTTTAATAATTATTTGAACTCATTTTCACTTTTTAGAACATTTAGGAGTAAGATTGTAATTTATTCTTTATTTTTTTTATTTTTTATTTTTTTGTTTTAGTTAAATAGGAGAGTATTTTGGTAATTTTACATTAACAAATGGTGAAAACGACGTTTTCTGCAATGAAACATTGAAATAAGGACGAAAATGCAAAAAAATGAAAAAGAAGTATCCAACGTAGAGGCGTTTTGTGCTATTAACCCAAGAACATAATATAATTCAGAACAGAAAGGAAGTTTAGTAGGTGAAACAATTAGAGTTAATAATTCTAGGATGGATGCGAGAAAAATACCATCTACGTGATATGGTGGTGGGAAGAATTGCAAGTAACAAAATGAAGCAATTGTCATCCCTGCACAAGGAGAGGCAAGTAGAAAAGATTGCAAATAAATATACTAGTGGAGAACATATAAAACACGTCATAAGACTAGACTCCATTCACATCATGCATACCTAATAGACCCCCGGTAAATACATCTTCCCAATGGTGCCAATAATCATCAACTCGTGAGATTCCAACTAATGCAGCAACGAGTAAGGGCAGGAACGTAATGCAGAGCTTCGCAACATGGCCCCTACGGTCAAATACTCTAATTTTCCCTGACAAGTACCAGGCTAGAAAGCCAAGACCAGCAAAAGACCCTACAGTGCAATACTCCAAATGTCATTGAACTTCTATGTCTTTAGGTTAGAAACTCACAAGGCTAGCTCCAATAGCGAGGTAAACCTGTTAATTGGAACATGGTATAGACATTGGTGCATATATGCATCAAATTATTTTCGTGGAATCTCTAAATCCAGGATATATGGACAAAACCAGATATTAATTATAGTCATTTCATTGTAAATCAAACTAGATATAGGACAAATCAAGCATTGCATGCTTTCATGATCAATATATGGTAAAAGGCTGCAAGCCAACTTACCATAGATGAATCATACAGCTTTGGACTTCAAAATAAATTATTAGATGCCAAAGAACCTGCTCATGCTTGTGGATTGAGAAATATATATAATTTGTCCAAGTTCTATTAATGTAAACGTATACAAGGAATTTCTGCAACTATAAGAGCCTGTTTCAAATATCAGAAAGTTGAATGACCTAGCACAAGGATACGTAAAACTGTTACTCTTGCAGTAATGTCGATAAGCAATCTAGTATATGAATACCTAAAACGGGTATTTCAGTAATAATATGGATTTGAAGTTCATAGATACTCCTCAAAATAGATATACAGAAGTTAACCACAGCAAATAGCTTAGCCCTAGAAAAAGCCAAATTTAATTTTCTGAAATTTCTTGTTAGTAGAATTAACTAATTTATAAGACGCAATGCATCAAAAAAACTACATAAAATATTAACTTGGACTAAAGCTGAAAGAGCAATAATAAAGAAAGTGACCGAGTTCAATTAATTAATATACAGACATAGATATGTAATGAAAAGAAAAATCAATTAACTTTATACATAGCAGGACATCGTCGTAAAAGATCAATTAGATGCACACATATATGATATGCATACATGTATGTAATTCGTCATACTAACAACATTTCCAATGTCAATAATATTTGGGTCTAACCACATATGTACAGCACTTCAAATGGACTTGTAACGAGTAAGCAAACATTGTAGATTGCAAATGCCAACACAGGCAATGACGTGGTGAGTATACTCACAGGAAGTATGTCCGCTAGGGAAACTTTTATGTCCTTCTTTGATGACACTCTTCAATCCAGTACACTGGACATTCCTTGTGACAGGATGGAACACCTATCAACATAATTGACATATATTACTTACTGAGAAAGCTAATGTCAAGAGTTTAAAGTTAAACCATGAAAACTCACCCCTTTTCCATCAGGAAAGCAACGCCAAAAGAAGTCCGGACGAGGACGACCAACAGCATCTTTAATTGCATCAGTAATAACACCAGTAACAAGTACAGAAAACAAGAGGCCTGACAGAGTATACAGTAAACATCATTGCATTCTGCATTCTATAATATTCACCTTTAATGGGAAAAACAATATTTATTTTGGAAAAGAAAGAATAATACCCAATATAGCTTGGTGCAAATCGTAGACATCGTGTCTAATAAAGTAGAAGACTATAATGACAATGGAAGGCAATATTATTGCAATCATCTGTTAGAAATGAAAAAGGAGAAATGGTTATAAAACTTTCTCAAGAGAAGGAAAACGAAGGAAACTTCTCCTAACAGTATATCTACATACAACATGTTCATTAGTAATGTTTCTAAAAGACAGCATACCGGAACAGCCCAGAACGGAACAGTATTGTCTTGCAATGGGTATTTCAGGTCTGTCATCATCTCCTCTCCAACAAATCGATGGAATGGTTCTATTATATTTAAAATGATCTCTATTACCACAAGCATCAATAGAATAAGCCAATCATGCATGTGGAATCTTGCTACTTGCACTCCATGAGATTTTATCGTGTGGGCACCCAACTGTATCTCTGGCATCTTCACCAACTAAAACAAATCTCAAGTAATTATTACTTGACGTCAACAGAAACTTCCTAATAAGAAGTAAAAAAAAATATCAATTCAAATCTTAACATTAATGGACAGGGTGACCAGAAATTTCGAGTGACCAATATGAACTCAAATAAAAAATTAAAAAATATAATGAAACAATACAAACACAGAGAATACTCATACTGATAACACTATTCAAAGTTTTTTTTTTTTTTTTTATTATTTTTTTTATTTTTTTTTAAAGTTTTGTTTGGTCTTTTTTGATAGTATATAGATATATTCATTTTAGCTCTAAAATATATAGCAATTAGAAATGCCTTCAGCAAAGGTAAATTTAAGGTAGTTCTCATTGCTCTTTCTTAGCACACAAAAAAACCAAGTCTTTGTTTTAGTAGAAATGAAGCAAATATAGTAGCACATCCATTATTTCTAAAAAAAAAAAAAATAAACAAATTAAACTTGATACAGATTCAGCTTTGCTTTACTCTAGGTTACCATTTCATTTTCATCCATGATCCCCATTCTCTCTTAAGTTTGGCACTTTGGTCCCCATTCAACATTTATCATCATTTAGGTAATGAAACTTAAACTTTCACAACTAATAGATAACTTGTCAAATTTAAGATGAAAAGTAGCCTTAAATCCACTCGTGGTTCACATGTGATTATGAATGATCCTCGAAAAGACAAATCTACCCTCATTTCCAGAGAACCATAAAGTGAATATTAAAAAAAGTTAGAAAAGGAAGAAAGTTTAGAAACGCAAACTTCAATCTTCCCCACCTTCGACCACTTCTATCATAGGCATAGTCCCCTTCCTCGACCTGACAAGTGGGTTTCCAGATGAGTCCGCAGCAGAGTGGCATCCAAACACCTTATAATGTGGCACTAATTCTAATTTCTGCGATCTCCATTCTTTTGTGGCCATCACCAAAGTAGAGATGAAGATGCAGAAACTCAACACTCCAGTAAGCCCTCTGAATCTCCATATACATACATTGGAAAAAATCTTGCACCGTACCATAATTATCCAGAGATTGAGGATAAAATAAGATCTCAAAATTAGAGAACACATCAGATTGTGAGATCCCGTAGCTTGAATGATTTTTGGATTCATCATTTTTTGCGCCCAACTAATCAGTCTGTTCTGGGTTTAATAACTTCGACTAATACCTCAAATTAATACTTTATCTAGCATCCCCTCAATACATATAAAATGATGTTGTGCAGCTTAATCAGAAACCTTACACAAACCCAAATAAAACTTTCCCTTTTTCTATCAAATTTTCCAATTTTAACATGCTCATTCCTGGATCCTGTTCTCAACCAAGTGGAAAGATAGAACTAGATGAAATCAATGTCAGAAAATGCCAGGTATTTAGACAGATTCCGTCAACCAAAAATCCCGATCAGAAGACGTGGGCAGGGTTAAGTACCACATGAAAGGAATGCTCAATTCAGGCTTTCAGAAAGATCCATAGATTCTTGCCTAGAGACACGTCAGAGATTATTGAAGCAACTAAAACTAAATAATGACACTAAGCGAAACAAGCATTGAGAACAGAAGTGTTCTATGGTATCATGGTAAGAAAACATTACCATTTATGGCGAGAATCAGAAAGTATGGTCCTCTCATGAATAAAAACTAGTGAAGCTTAGATAATCTCAAATTGCAACAAACCCAAACCCAGGTGGAAAAGGAAATACAAAGAAGCGTTAACCAAAAAAAAAAAAGCTTATTAATTATTTTAAAACATAAAAAATATGACTGAGTTGACTCAATTTTCAAGCTCGAAAACTTTGCATGTTTTTAATATTAAACGGAGATTTGGCAATCCGAGGGTATTTAAGTTCACATGTTATGTTCACATTGCAATAATTATATGGTAACAAAATAAATAAGAATTTTTTAGAAATATTTTTAAAACTTATTTTGCTATAGCCAGCATATTGCGATGGTAAGATCTCCACTCTCATTATCTTAAATTTACTAGTTCGGAGAGAAACCGAAATATTAGGAAATTTAGGGTCAATTCTTCAAAATTATGCTTCTGGCCAGACAAACAGAACTTTAGAAAAGCATAACTGAATTAAAATTACACAAATTCAATTTATACAAAAAGAAAACAATTTAAAACTTCAATTCCCAAAAGCATCACTAATAAAGTTAAATATGAATAGAAAAAGTAGATTCAAAGCAACTAACTGTTCAAACCTTAAAAAAAAAAAAAAAAAAATCCTTCCAGAAATTGTAAAAATTTACAGAGAAAAAATAACTAAAACAGAACAAGATTACGAGAACTCACCCTGAGAACTGTAAATTTAGTGTTGAATTAAAATTGCAAGAAATTTTCTCTAACTGACGAGAAAAAGAACAACGAAGTGGAAGTAAACAAGTAAAGAGGTTTCTTCACCAAATCCATTTAACCATCTCTGTTTACTGTCGTTTTCAATTGGAATTCCCAGAAAGAGAGAGTGTGCATTAAAGTAATGAGGCTTCACTGTCTTCTGGAAGAAGTATAAAAGCGAAGAGATAAAAAGGGTGGAGGATTTGAATTAAAGTGGAAGAAAGAACAATTTTTAAGCACCAGTTTGACACCCATTAAATCATTTGAGTTTTGTGATAAGCGTACTGGGAAAATTCTTAAGACTTATTTCAAAATTAAGATAAAAGATTTAAAATTTTAAAAATTAGATATTTATTAAAAATTATTTTTGAAATAATTAATTAAAAATATATTTTATAAATTAAATATAATGTCACAATTTTATACATGAGGTCATAAATTATCGAATTAATTGATTATAAATAATTTCTCAATTACAATTAAAAAATTTATAGCATGAAATTATTTCATGATCACAAATTTATCAAATTAATTGGCCACATATTATTCCTTAGTCACAAGATATTAAATTAATTGACCACAAATTATATTTAGGTCACAAATTCTGAAATTATTGGTCACAAAACGAACAAATTTTTAGGCCACACATTATTTATTGATCATAATTTATCTATATCATTGATCACATATTGTTTATGGTTCACACCTTAACCAAATCATTCGTGACCACCACCAACACTTGTGACCACAACCTCACTACTGCCACCAATCACCTCACCACTAAAATCATCATTGTCAGACCACCACCACCTCCCGACAACAAAACCATCATCTCAAATACAGTAGCCAACATCACCACCACCACCCACCCATCCATAACCATTGTGCCTCCACAACCACCACCACTAAAGAATCAGATTCAAAATTATTACAGTCATCGCCACTACCACGCCACCACTGCTGCAACCGATCCACAACTATAGCCGTCACCACCACCTCTCACCATCACAGCCCACCAAAAATCACAACTATCATCTCTTCTATCTCCATCTCCACAACACCACCCCTCACCAAAAATTCTCCAATCGCCATTATCACCACCACGACCTCAACAAATCTACGGCACTGTAATCTTCACACAAACCTCTAGTGTCATATGCCACCAAGAATGGTTGCAACACCTTGCACAATGCTACAACTAGCTTAGAGTGGCGGTGCCTTTACCGTAGTAGCATGCATTGTCGCTCAGAGGTCCAACTTTGATAGAGAGATGGTTGGAAGAGAAGAGAGATTCTGGGAAGAGAGAGAGATCTGTCTCCAGTAGAGTGGTAGAGAGAGTTTGTGGGAGAGTGAGAATAGATAGGTACAGAGAGAGAAAAAAGAAGATGGAGATAGGGTTTGGGAAGGATCTTAGATATTTTAAAAAAATTTTTTTACAGTTGTAACATAATTTATTGTATATTTCGTTTATTAAGTTAAACTCGATGAATGGAAGTGGAATTAATAGGAAAAAGCAAAAATTGACAAAAATTTGCAAGATCCAAAGCTTGGTGACTGAAGTGTCAATACTCAAATGTTGTGTCAAACTCCATGATGAAGATTTGAAATTACTAAAGGTCAATTGGTTGTAATTAGAAACCAAAATGAGTGAAATATAACCAAAATATTATCACAAATCAATTTTCAACTATACATTGATGTTTCAAATTTTCAGCTAGAGATTGAGACCCATTTTCGGCCTAATAAACGTTCGACCTGGAAATTAGCTACTTCTAGTAAAATTGTAGTCCTTTGAGTTATCTTTAAATTCAATATCGGGAGAGGGAGTTATGATAAAAATACCGAAGAAGGTATAATGTTAAATTTTTCCCGAGAGATGGCCCTTAACCATATGTGAGAACAAATACTTCATAACTTTCATTGATGATTTCTTTCTATATAGATATGTTTACCTGGTTAATGATAAATCTCATGCTCTTGATAAATTCAAGATTTTCAAATGGAAGTAGAGAAACAATGAGAAAAAAGTATTAAAGTAGTGAGATTTGACCGTGGGAATACTATGGAAAGTATGATAAGTTTGGTCAAAACATGGGTGATTTTTTTACAAGGGTGTAGGATAGTGCCTCAATATACCATGTTAGGGATACTTTAGCAGAATGACGTTTCTGAAAGACGTAATTGAATTTTGAAGGATATGGTTAGGAGTATGATGAGTAATAAGCTAAGTTTGGCTCATTTCAGAGTTTGGGGATATCCAACTAAAGTTAGGATTTATAATGCTCTTGAAAAGAAATTAAACCCAAAATCAACTCCTGATTATTATATTAGATATCCGAACAAATCAAATTAATATAAATTCTATTTTTCCAATCTTGGCACCAAAATTTTTGAGTCCATTAATGCTAGATTTTTGGAGAACGATTTTGGTGATAGTGGGAGTTCTGTGTTGAAGGAACTTTTTGTTGAACCGAATCAAGTCATTGTTCCAGTTTCTGTTATATAGGAAAGAATTTTTTCTCAACCAACCAAAATTGTTAATAAAGAACCTAGGCATCAAGAGGAACTTTTGGTTCCTCCTCCAATAATGATTGAGTCAGTTTTTGAGTCACAAGTCATAAGATTGCAATGGAAAAGGCGGTATGCATTGCCCAATTATTATATTACATATTTATTGGAGAGTGATTTTAATATTGGGCATATTGTTGATCATGTTACTTATAATCAAGCATTAACAAGTCTTGAGTCACATAAATGGATAAATGTTGTGGAAGATGAAATGAATTCTATGGAACAAAATGGAGTTGGGAACTTGTTAAACTTTCTCCTGATGTTAACACCATAGTAACAAGTCGATCTTCAAATGTAAATTGGACTCAAAAGGGAATGTTGAATAAAAGAAGGCAAGATTGGTTGTAAAAGGGTTCACTCAGCGAGAGGGCATAGACTATAATGAAATTTTCTCACATGTTTCGTCCAAAGATTCTTTTCAAGTTATCATAGCACTTGTACCACACTATAATTTGGAGTTTCGTCATATGGATGTTAAGACAAGCTTTTTGATGGAGTGCATTCTGAAAAGGTTTACATGAGATAGCCTGAAGGTTTTGTTGTGAAGGAAAAAGAAAACTTGGTATGTAAGTTGAACAAATCCTTATATGGCTCTAAGCAAGTATCTCGATAGTGGTATTTGAAGTTTGATAAGATTGTAACTTCTTTTGATTTTGTTGAAAATACAGTTGATCAATGAATTTATCTAAAAATCAGTGGGCGATTTTTTTCTTATTCTGTATGTTGATGACATTTTGCTTGCTAACGTTGACTTGGGATTACTTCGTGAGACAAATAAAATGTTATCTGCTGGTTAGAGATAAAAGATCTTGGAGAAGCTTCATATGTGCTTAGCATTGAAATACATCGTGACAAGAGTCGTGATGGCTTATTGATACTTTCTTAGAAGGCTTATATACGACGTGTTCTAGAAAAGTTTAACATGTAGAAATATGTACTAGTGATGTACCTATCATGAAAATGGATAAGTTTAACAAAGCTTAATATCCAAGGAATGAGCTCGAAAGGGAATATAAGAAGATGATATCGTATGCTAGTGATGTAGGGAACTTGATATATGTTCAAGCTTGCGCCAGACTAGATATAGCCTACAAACTCAGTGTTCTTAGTAGATTTTAGTCGAATATAGGGCAAGAATATTGCAGCAAAGAAAGTTATGAGATACTTGAAGAAAACTAAAGGTTATATGCCTACCTTCCAGCGTTCAAATCACCTTGAGGTGGTAGGCTACCCAGATTCTAATTTTGATGGATGTTAAGATGATTTGAAATCAACCTAATGTTATATTTTCATGTTGGTTGGTAATGCTATCTCTTGGAAAAGTGTTGAGCAGATTCTAGTGGCATCTTTTACTATGCAGGCTAAATTTGTATCATGTTATGGAGCTATGGTCCTAGCCGTTTGGTTAAGGAATGTTATTTACGGGTTGAAAGTTGTTGATTCGATCTCAAGACCAATTACTATTTGTTGTGATAATAGCACCGCGGTGTTATTTTCAAGGAATATTAAACGTTATGGTGTGTCAAATCACATTGACATCAAATATTTGGTGGTTACAGACAAAGTTAAGGAAGGAAAGATCAAAATAGAGCATTTCAGTACAGAGGCGATGACTGCACATCCTTTGACTTTGGGACTTGCTCCAAACATTTTTAAGATATATGTTGCTAATATGGGTATTATGGAAGCCTTTGAAGTTTTTGGTTAGTAGGAATTATTTATGCAAAAGAACTACATTTTGGCTTGATACCTTCGATGTGTTTGTAAGCAACCCATATGTTTTCCAGGTACAGCCCATTTCAATAATAAAGTATATTTTCCCTGACCATAAAGTATTTTGAACACGTATTTGGCTTATATCCTTTTATTATGATATTATTATAATCTTGAGATATAACGGATAAAAACATAAGATGAGCCTCTTTTGGAGATATGTGGCTTCATTTTGATTTGAATCATTATGAGAACCGATATGAATTAGCACAATTTGCATCACATGGTGCTAAATTCATACTATATACTGCCATATTGGTTGAAGGATAGGATCCATGTCGATAAAGAAGTTAGCATTTGTAACTATGGAGTGGCCTTACATCGTTCAAATGGTGTAATGACTTCCATGCTTGACGTTGACATTCTTGTTGAATCGAATCATATTTTCTAAGGTGTTATCACTGGAGCTATATATGTGTGGCCACCTACTATGTAGTCTAGCTCGATAGTCAAAAGTTTTGTTTTATTATTTAATAGCAATCAAATCTTTGCCCAAGTGGGAGAATGTAAGAATAATTTCAAAATATGGGTTTCCCATTTGAT